TTCAAGTTTGTTTATTTAAGAATCGAGTATTTAAAATATTGTTCAAGTTTGTTTGTTTAGTTAATTAAACGATCACAAACGAGCTTTAATCGAACCGAACAACGAGTAGCTCATCGAACGTTTGGTTCGCTTGCAGCCCTACTCTTGCGGGAGCAAGTCGTGTCGCCAATAACGAAGAGATTGGATCACAATGTAAAACTCTTAGTTATACGTGGAATATCGCTACCGAATGTCATTTGGCTTCTCATTGAAGTAAGCTACTGGGTGACCTTCCTAGGATAGGACTCCTCCAATTCCGAACCCCGAAGATCACATGTCACCTTGAAGACTTTGGAGAAATCAGGAAGTCTCATCACTGGGGCTTCCACCATTCTTTTCTTAATCTCATCAAAAGCTCTGATGGCGGCCGGGGTCCAGTGGAAATCACCCTTCTTCAGACAATCGGTGATAGGAGATACAATGGTGTTGAAATTTTAGATAAATCTTCTATAGAAGGTCTCTAATTCGTGGAAGCTGCAGACTTCCTGGATGGTATGAGGAACATGCCATTCTATAATGGCCCTCACCTTCTCGGGATCTGTAGAGACCCCTTGGGCTAACACGATAAAGGCCAAAAAGATAACACGATTTACAAGGAAGGTACATTTCTTAGGATTGTCATAAAATTGTTCATTCCTTAGGACCTCACAAACTTTCCTTAAGTGGTCCAAGTGCTGACTCACCGACTGACTATAAATAAGAATGTCATCAAAGTAGAAGACGATAAATTTTCCCATAAAAGGGCGCAACACTTGAGTCATGATCCACATGAAAGTACTCGGGGCATTACTCAACCTGAAAGACATAACTAACTTCTCATAGAGACCATCCTTGGTCTTGCAAGCTGTTTTCCACTCATCTCTGGGTCGGATTCGGATCTGGTGGTATCCACGCTTGAGATCGATCTTGGAGAATAGAGTGACACCCATCATCATATCGAGCATATCGTCCAACCTCAGAATAGTGAAACGATATTTGATAGTGATTTTGTTGATAGCACGGCTATCAACGCACATTTGCCAAGATCCGTCCTTCTTAGGAGTAAGAAGGGCTGGCACCACGCAAGGACTAAGACTCTCCTTAATGAAACCTCGTTGCAGTAACTTATCTACCTGCTTCTTAAGTTCAGTATGTTCAGTGGGGTTCATGTGATAGTGTGGCAGGTTAGGGAGGGAGGTTCCCGAGACGAAGTCTATGGCATGCTGAATGTCTCTAAGCGGAGGTAATTGATCTGGGAGATCATTAGGGAAGACATCAACAAACTGTCCCAAAATGGATTGGACTTCTTGAGGGATAGGTTCGTCAGATTCGGTGGGAATCTCATGACCAACTAAGGCGTATAGAGGTGCGTCTTGAGCGATCTAAGAATCCAAAACCTTGGCAGTGACCAGGTTCAGTCCTTTCTTGGACTTAACAGGGTTGGATTTGGAGTCATCCTTAACCCGGGGCTGCGATGGTAAAAGCTTGATCTTTTTACCCGCATGTTTGAACACACAGGTGTTCAAATGCCCATAGATGTAGACATCTTTATAAAAAATCCAGGGGCGACCCAAAATAATTTGTCCAACATCCATAATCAGCACATCGCACCAAATATTATCCTTATAGTCAGCGAAGGAGATATGTATGATGCTTCGTTCTTTCACCTCCAAGGTAGTGGAGTTGACCCACGCTACCTTATACGGGTTGGGGTGAGGAACGACAGAAAGACCCAACTTGGATACCATGCTGGAGGATACAACATTTATGCAGCTACCACTATCCACGATGACCTTATAGTTCTTATCCTTGATCTTGGTGTAGGTATGAAAAATTGCCGTCCTATGCCAGTCATCAATGGGAGTAGGGTGTGATAGCGCGCATCTCACCACGCATATGGGAGAGGTATCCAGTTTTTGAAGGCAATGGAGGGTATCAGTGTCATCCTCCTCCTAGAAGAATTCACCTTTGTCCTCTACTTGGTGAATCTGATCAACCTCGGGCTCAAGATCGTCCTCAGTGATCTCCTTGATGATCGAGATTTTATAGGGACTGGAGCACTAAGAAGCGATATGCCCATACCCCTGACATTGAAAGCACTTGGTCTTGGGACTGGACCGAGGGGTATGCGGGGTGGGAGTTTTACTCCTTAAATCAAATCGAGGTGAAGGAGGACCCGTGGGTGGTTGGGTAGTGCTCCCTGGGGTCGATTGGGCAGCATGAGGGTGAGGGGTGGAACTACCGGACACTATATAGGAAGGCCTATAGTCATGTGATTGGCTCGGGTGCTGGGAACGGGTCTCCTCCAAATCTAGTATTAGGCTGTAGGCGTTCTCCAGAGTAGTGATGTTCCGGGCAAACAGCTCGTTGTGAAGATCCTCTCGCAACTCGATACGAAATATAGACAAGATCTGCGTGGGGGTGGTAGAGGCCTCTCATTTGCAGCGAATCCGGTAGTCATTGAAGGACGCGATGTACTCCTTAACTGATTTGTTGCCCTGAGTCAGCCTATTCCATCTATCCAACAATCTAGGGAAGTCCAAGGGAGGCAAGTACTTCAGCTTAAGTTCACGCTTCATGGAAGTTCAATCAGCTTAAGTACCACTTAAAGAAGCTGTCCATACCTTTGACCCAGTTCAAGAAGAGGTGGGGATCGAGTGTGCCATCAAAGGTAGGAGCATTGACTTTAATGTTCTTCATAAGTGGTATGTCAAGGTCATGGTGTGGGTTGTGTCCATATTGAGGAGCTCGATGATTGGCACGAGCCTCTCATCTTGATAGGTTTATCCCCATACATAGAAGGAGGTCTAGATGGGGTGTAGGGGGTTGGATGTTCCCTAGATCGTTCAAGTATGTCAAAGCGTTTGGTTGTGTCCCTACGAAGTTCAGCTAGGTTGGCTTGATTCTCTTTGAGTTGCTGGCTAATGTTGTTCATTTGGCCTACCAACAAGTCTAGAGTCCTACTAAGTTGTTCCGGGTCCATAGTTAGACAGTAGGGGACACTTGGGGATGAATCTAGATAGAGGACTGCACTTAGATGCAATGATAGACTCCCTAGAATGACACTAAATGATGCAGAAAGTACTTAGACAGCAAACTACAATAAGGGATTAAGTAATCTAGGCAACTAGAAGGTTGTTATATTAAGGAAAGCACCTAGATACTTAAGAAACTACCCTAAAGCCCACTAAATGAGTGCAGAAATCTACTGGACAACAAGCACAACAGTGATTTAGAATGATTTAAATGATGACATGCATGCAAAATTATATAAGAATGGTTAAACAACAACCTAGGATGATTTCTAGCATGAATATCCTAAGCTAACCATGCTCTGATACTAGATGATGCAGGACTACAATGTTTTAATGGTATGCGATAAGAATTTGCACAATTTCTTGAATAAAACAATTAAGATTAAAACTATTAGCAATTAAAATGACAAAAGAAAACAAGAGATGGGTGCCTACGTTTAGGCTAAGCCACTTGCCTAACGCTTGAATTATCAAATAACTTAGAATCTCAATAGTAAGCAAATGTAGTAGCTTTCAACAAAATCCCTATACTAACAATGAGATTAGAAGCATAGAAAATTACACTCAATTCCTACGATTACTAGGCTTGGCAAAGATAGGTGAACTAGACCTTCATGAATCTAATCAAACTACAAGAGAGTTAAATTACGAAAATACAAGAGTATGAAGATTGGAAGACCTTTGTCACGGTTTGGACGTCATCCACCATTGAACGACACCAAGTTGCTCATCTATGGCTTCGGTGAGAGTATTTAGAATGCGCTCCACGTACTCTTCGACTATGTGGTCAATATTCGGATTGACGTCGAAGAAAGTGGAGTGAAGGATGTGAACGAACTCTTGTTCGTCGTAGGCGATGCCGTAATCAAGATCTGGATCGGCAATGCATCATGTTCGTAGGATTGATGTGTTGTAGATGACGTCCTTTTGTCTTCCTTAAAGATTTCTCTTGAAAGCAGGGCCTTCAAATGGTGGAGAAAGAATGAAGGAGCTCCCTTGTCAAAATCTGAGAGTAAAGTTTAGATTATGTTTTGGAGCGAAATAAGGTTGAGGAAATTTGAACTCTAGCGAAAGGGGGAAGGAGAGAAACTTGCCTTTGTGGAGAACTTTGATTGGGATGCAAAAGGGAAGAGGATTTATTGTAGGGAGGGAAATTTGAGAGCGAGAGGGGGCGGATATGAGAGAGAGCCGGCAGCATTAATGAGGGGAAAGGGGTTTGGGGAATTGTTTTATTACTTGCCTCTTTGAGAGTTCCCAAATTAAAGAGGAGAAATTGATTCCAATCTAATTTAATTTTGATTTGGATTAGATTGGAGGAGTTTCCTAAAATAGAACTCTATTTAAGGAAATACTTCAAATTTCAAATTTTGATTGAGTGATTGAATTGAAATTTTTACTGAATTAATTTAAATGGAAAAGGAAAGAAATAAAGGGGGAAAATTTGAATTGTGGAAGTAAGAGGGGGATGGGTGGCCGACGGGTAGGTAGGGTTAGGTTGTGTTTTGTATTTTGAGGATGTGGTAGTAGGGATGCATATGTATGAAAGTTGAAGGGATGTAGTAGTGGACCAAGATGAATGGGTTGGGCTTAGAGGAGGCGGTGGTGGTGGACCTTGAAGTGGCCGACAGTTTTGGGTGTAGGAAAGAGGACAAGGAGATAGTGAAGAAGAACCACGAATCCGGCCGTCTCCAAGGTTGGTGGGTGATCCAAATTTCCCTCTACTAGGGATCTCTCTCTCCAAGCACACTCAAGATCTCATATAGAACTCAAGCAATAACAAAATTTTATCATTCAATCATTAACATGAAAAGAGAACAAGAGGGCTATATATAGCCTCGTTCAAATGACTCATGAAAGTAAAAGACGACGATGTCTTTTGGGCTTACATACGACCTCCCTTAAGTAAGGGGTAAAAGCAGAAACACTAATAAAACAAATATAACATAAAATAATAATAAAGAAAGTACATAATATGACTCAGAAGTACATCGACTCAATCGTGGCCGTAGATCGACGGCCACGTCTCTGATAGACTTTCCAAGCTCTAATGTCCCAATCAGGAACTTATGGTGTAAATAATTTTCTTATATGAGTTTGCATAACTATTTTTATTTTGGCAATTGTTGTCATTAAGTTTTATGTTTGTCTTATGATTTACTGATGAATTTATATATGTGATTTATTACTTAGTGGCTTGAATTTAAACTGGCAAAGTTCAAAATTATTATTCTTGTTACAAGGAGTTTTGATTAGAACCTTTTTCTATTTTAAAATAAACTTATGGTTGTGATTTGTGATTGATTTGAATTTAAGTTAAATTAGAAATTCAATTTTTTGCTACTTATGAAGAATTTCAATAAGGATTTTTCGCTGAATAATTACATTAATATACAATATTTAAGAAATTAGGTTAATAATGAATGGATAGGCTAAGATTTATACTACGTGAAATTTCAAGTGACTGATAGTAGTATAGAATAGTTATAGTATTCAAATGGTGTATGGAGGTTTTCATATTAAACAAATGTTAGATTTTCAAAACGAAATTATTGAAAATAATTTAAACATCATTTATGTAAACTAATGTGTTATTTCACTATTCCTATACGTAGCAGAGACTAGACTCCACATCAAGCTTGATTTTATTTAGTCTCTGATAAGAAAAAATTGAGCAATAGAAATGAATTAAACAAATTATTGGATATGACTCCACAATTTTTTATAGTAAGAAATCTATACTTTTAAACTTGTATTTATTACAAATAATTGGCAAATTTTGAATGGTTATCAGTTATGTCTGTTTTATTGAATAAACTGAGACAAAACTACGAAAAAAGAGTGGAGTTAATTAATATCGAATAAATATGCACCTACTTTGTGGAGGGACTTATGAGCTGATTATTTATTCATTGATGCATAAGCTTTTCAAATTTAAAAGTGAAATGGGAAGCATAGGCTTCAGAGTCTTCAAACACATCAAGCTTCTCCCTGATATTTAGCTAATATACAGCTATTCCAACACAAACAGAGCGATTTTTGAAGAAATAATTTTAGTGCATTGCTTATTATCTTCATTTATGTTTATTTTCATGTTGGTTGCACTTTTGACATGGAGTGCTTTATCACATCCTAAAGCAGTTGCTTTGATACAGATCGGTGCTGGCTTAGTCCATAAAGAGTACATTGCCAGGGTTGTTGGGGTTTTCCCTGAAGGAGAGGTATTTGAATGTTTAGTTCTCAAATAACACTTAAATTATTCTTAATCATGAAAATAGTGGTCGAGAAAGATTTTACGTACTTTGAATAGCTTTTTGACTCTAACATGGGAGTCATGGGACCCATTCTATTATCTTCCTTATATTCGCTTTGTAGGATTCTTATGCTTTATGTTGAAATAAAGGGTGATTTTGACAATTGTCAAATCAGAAAATTGGGATAGAGAGAAGCAAGACAATAAATGGTTATTTTGCGTGCGCAATGGTTTGCCATCCTTTTTGGACCCCACTCAAACTATTTTGGGTTTTTCTTTGTAAATAATGCAATTTAGATCCTACCTGCCATAGGAGAAGAAATGTAGAGACAATTGGGCTCTTAGAGAACATGAAAGGTGTAATAACTGGTTTAGCCGACCGGCCACCTATTAATTTCCATGAATAGAAACGAGCGAACAGGACGGACGCAATAGGGAGCGGACGAACGCGTGTGAAGAAGAGGTTGGAGAGTTCATTTCGCCATTTTTAGCAATTGATCGTGTTTAGGGATAAGAATCACCATCACCTTTTCATTCTTATCACTGAAGAAGTGATAAATCGGAAGAAATCTCAGTGAGCGAGAAGAACGATTTGGAGGAAGAGGGAAGAAGGCTTGTTGAGTTTTTTCTTTTCATTTTCGTATAAATTCCCTTGTTTTGCTTCATCTAAAGCAAGTGATGTTTTAATAAAGGAAAATGAAGAGATTGAAAGCGAGGAGAAAGGATTTTGGGAGAAAAAGAAGGATTTTGAGATTTTGAGTAAATTCCCATTTGTTAGTGAATTTCTTAGTGTATAACTTTTATTAAAAATTTTTATTAAATCATATTTTCATGAAAGTTTATATTGTATGAATTTAGGAATTTTAGAAAGGGAGAGTTCAAGTTCTAGTAGTTCGATTCTTCAATAATTCAACAAGGAAAAGAGAAATTTAGATTTGAGGTAATTATTAATTAAATGAATATTTATGAATAAATTTATGAAAGGTAAATGATAAATTTTCATGGTTATGAATTTCTTTAGGTTGTACCAAGGATCGAGGACTTGAAAAAATCAAAGTGAGTATTTATATTTTATAGAATTTCTTTTTATTGTATTTTTCTATTTCATTTTGAAAGAAGTATGTTATATAAGTATTTTAAGACTTATGCTTTATTTTTGGAAAGTATTACATATAAAATAAGCAAATTTATTATACAAATACGAATATTTGAAAAAATTATTTGTAAAGAAACTACATATAATGGAAAGAGAAAGTAAAATTAGAAAATATTTATATATATATGATACTTATATGTATATCAAAAGTATATATAAATAAGTGATATATGAACGAATGAAAAATAAATGAAAAGAAAATGAAAAGAAAAAAGATATGCATGCAAATTTATAGGAGTTCACCCCTGTATGGTACTGGCTGGGGAAGAAATGTACCCATGTGCGTTAAAAAGAGAAAATGAAATAGAAATAAAAATGGAAATAGTTGTACATTAATTGGTACATTTAGACGGTACTCCTGTACAAATGAAAATAGCTATGAAAATGAATTGAATGTCAAATCTGTTAAAAGAAATGTTATATGGAAACGGACTATTTTTATTGAATATAAAAGGACCTTTGTAAATTATAAGGCTTATAATACATGAAATATGTATTTATATGAATTTTGTGTTAAGTAAGAAAGAAGTATATGAAGATATATAATTATATATTTTTGATATGCATGTGTTATTGTTTCATGATTGATAATGATTACCCACTGAGTTTACATGGTAAACTCAAACCACTAAGTTAATGTTTTAGGTAGACCTTTAAAGAAATAAAAAAGATAGAAATTGAAGAGTATGTTTATAGAAGACGTCGCATCAATAAAAATAGGTAAATTATGATTGATGAAATCATTAGCTTTGATAAGTGCAAAAAATAATATATTTAATTGAATATTTATTTTATTAGTGGCTCTCCGGTTGGATAGAGTAGTCTTTATGTTGCTTTACTTATAAAAGGAATGAAAAGTTACTACCATCCGATTTCCGTTCCTACCTCGTTAGTTCGAGCATCCGGGCTGGGAGAAAAGTGGTATAATAGACCAATTAAGATATGAATCATACTGAAAGGGACATTATGATGACTATTATTGTAAAATGAGCTATCTTATTGAAAACATGAATCAAAATTATTCTGAAAAAGAGGAGGAAGGGGAAATGATAGTACCTAATGTTACTGTTAACCTTGATGCACTGACACAAATGATGACAGCTATGACTCAGTTGATTCAAGACTCGAAGAATCAAACAGCAGGGAGTAGTAGTGGTGGTGGAATGACTATGGATAAGTATTTAAGTTATTTCAGGATAAAAGATCACCCTTATTTAAGGGAATAGATGGACTAATTGAGACTAAAAACTGGTTGTTAAGGATTGAGAAGATTTTAGAAGGAATGCTTTGTCCAGAGGAGAGGAAAGTTTTCTTAGCAACCTTTGTACTTGATGGAGAAGATGAAAGGTGGTGGAGATGTCAGCATCAAAACAAAATTGTAGGAATCCCTGACATGCAAATTAAGTGGGATGACTTTACTCAAGTGTTCAAAGAATTATTTGTGCCTCTTTCTGTGAAGAGACAGATGCAGGATAAGTTTATGAGATTGGTGCAAGGAGATAGATCAGTTATGCAATATGAAGCTGAATTTACAATATTATCCAAATATGCTCCTCAATTATGAGATTGGTGCAAGGAGATAGATCAGTTCTTAACTAGATTGAAGGATGCAATTAGGCAGCCTCTTGTTCCACTTGGAATTAAAGACTATTCAGTATTGGTGGAGGGAGCTAGGAGGGTAGAAATGGACATGCAAAATACTCGAAGGAGACGTGAATTTCAGAAGAGGACAAGTGATGAGGTAATGGGAGCTTCTCATGATTCATATAGCAAATCTCTTTCACAAGCTAGGAATTTTAATTGGAAGAAAGTAAAGTCCAATAGCAGTGATAGTTCAATGAGCATGAGCAGTTGCACCAAGTGTGGAAAGCAACATAAAGGAGAATGTCTATTTGGTACAAACACTTGCTTCAGGTGTCATCAATTAGGTCACATGGCGAAGAACTGTCATACTTTGGGGCAAAGACTAGCAGGAGAATCAATGATGATTATTGGATCTCAGAAAAAGGTTGGAAGACCAGGAATGCTGGAATCAATTGCTTCTACTTCAGGACCAAGTCAAACCTGACAGAATATTCAGCCTTAGGGTTCTCAATGCACCTTAAACATGGATTCTCAATAAAACTACGATCTAGGATTCCCAATCCATATTTAGATTCAGTCAACAAATGCAACAAATATGCAGTTTTTGCAGGCAAATAAATTATAAATCTTAAATATTTGCTTATTTCTTTTGATGCAAGCTAAAAATTATAAAGTTCTAATTGTTCTTAAAAATTTTTCACCTTTTTCTCAAAGTTAATGACATAAGTTGAGGATTGGAATTGCATGCAAACAATTGAAATTTCATGCAAAAGAAGAAAATTATATCCATTAAAAATTATTGCACTTTTAATCAATAATAATAAATGAAGAGAATAAGAGGAAAACTAAGGATGGGTAAGACATCACTTGTAGGTAAGCCTTATGGTTGAATAAAGAGTTGGTCTCTCTTAGTATATGTCAAATTTCACACTTTATTCAAGGCTCATGCCATAAGAGAATGATTTTCATTTAATTATTTTCTTCTACGCCTCAGCAAACCTATTTATAAAATTCATGAAAAAACTACTAAGATATGTATCATAGCATAGGAAGAAGTCTTAGAACCACAATAACTACTCATAAGAATTAATAAGTGCACTGCCTACAAGGAATAGGAGTCACAGGAATGACCAAGAACCTCCAAGGAGAAGTTGCAGATATAACCACAAGACCATAAGAATAGTCCAGTGAAGGAGAATAGTAATCATCCATTCCAAAAAGCCATGATCAAATGGCTCACTACAATAACCAGTAAACTATAGGCTCGCTAGAATCCACATGAAGAAGACATAAGTAGTGCCCATGATAACGAGCCATCAACAATTTTTACTTGATAAGAGTTATAATAGAGAGCTGGTGTTTGTAAGAAGTGCAAAACCTGCAAGATAAGAAGCCAGAGGAATGATCATAAACTGCAAATAATAATTACAGAAACAACAACAAAAAGGTTTTAAGAATAGTCCGGTGAAGGAAGAGAGTAGTTACTAGTTCAAAAAGCCATAATGGAAGGACTTGCGACAATAGCCAACAAGCTATAGTCCCAGTAGAACCTGCAAGAAGAAGACATAAGTTGTGCTCTTGCTGATGTGTCATTCACTTGATAAGTGTCAGAATACGGAGTTAGGATTTGTCAGACTATCATAGAGGCTCTCAGCACATATTTTCATTGAAGATGTACTTTAGTCTACTTAGTTGGCGAACCTCCTTAATAGTGGCGGAACCTGAAACATTTTATAGAGGGGGCCCATGGTCAAGAAACATTAGATTGCATTTCTGCAAGTCACACTTTGATTATATAATTCATTTAATGGATAATTTGAAAAGAAAATTCAAAAGATATGTAGTTTTCTTATATATATATATATCAATTTCAATTAACAAATTCTATAAAATACTATTCAAACTAGGGGTGTAAATGAGTCTAGTCGAGTCGAGTAAAGTAGTGGCGTTATCGAGCTCACCTCGTTAGTTAGAATGCCGGCTCGAACTCGAGCTCAAATTGAGCCCAAAAAATGAACTCGAACTTGACTCGTCCTTTAATTCATCGACTCGAGCTCGTTGGAGCACTGGGTAAGCACTTCCGGCGAAATCACTATGGGAGCGCCGAAGAAGAAACAAAGCTTGGTCAGCCGTTGGAGAAGAAAAACGAAGAAGTAATTGCTTTTTTTTTTAATTTTCTTTAAGTGACAGTAATGAAAGCGTGGCAGCTTTACTGCAGCTTTAATGGACAAGCTCTTTTTTTATATTTTGTGAGATGTGCGGTTGTAGTTATTTAATGCTACAGTATTTATTTTTCAAAATAATAATTTATAATTTTTTAAATTCGAATACTTAATAAAAAAGTGAATTTAATTTTAAATTATATAAATTAATAAATAAGATTATTTCTTATCCCTAAATATTTACTTGATCGAGTAAGCTCGTAAGCCAAGGAGCCGAGTCTTATGAAGCTCAAATTCGAGCTCGTTTAATATACAAGCTCGAGCTTGAGGTTCGATAAGCTCATTCCGCGAGCTCGTTAGAGAGCCGAGTTCGAGTTGGCTCGGCTCATTTATGCCCCTAATTCAAACAGATACTATGGAGCAGAACAAAAAATTGATAGCATGGTACTGAGAATCGAAGTCTACAAATGGATTAAATATACATACTCAATGGATCTGAAATTCCTACACAATTTTGATTTTGAAGCTATTAGATTTATTTTGAGATGAGTGCAATATATTCAAAGCAATTCAAGCAGATTTTAAACCTATTTTTTCTTTTTTCTCTATTCAATCTATTACAACATCAAAATATATATGAAATTAACCTGCTTTAGTGATGATTTGCAATCGTTTGTAGATTTTTTTCTCCTCCACTATCATGCTAGCTTTTAGATAAATATTCAACCGTTTGATTGTATGTGGGATTTTGTTTTCAGTGACTATTTCTTTTCTGTTTGGTGAAATTGATTTTGTGAAGCGAGTTTGAAAAGTGCTTAAGAACGGGTTTACATGTTACAGTTTATGGCGGTTAACTCAATCCATTCTTCTTTTCTGTTCATTATCAGTTGTTGTTTGCATAATGGTAAACTGATTAAGACGAATTGTTCGAATCTTCTTATAATTCTACTGTTCAGAAGTGACAAATATTACATGTTATTTTAGGGGCATTAGAGGGTGGTATCTGCTGTTAAATTATTTGTGATGATTCATGATGTGTTTTTTGCATAGATTAATGCTAGTTTGTGATGTGAATCAAAGTAGGAATTGCAATTAGAAATTAAAATGAAGATTATTAAAAGCTTTGTCATAACAAATTAATTACCAACAAAGGTAAAGGATTAAATCGTTCAAAGTAGTTAACTTGCTTAGGCGAAGATGTGCTTTGAGTTAACCAAACCTTTGAGGATGAAGATTTTTTGAATTTAGAAGAGCCTTTACTTTTATAATTGTACCGTGTAAGCTATTTTCCTATGGATTACCTAAATTGATGGATAATGGCATGTGATTTTTTTTAGATTGATATTTTAAAAAATGTGTGATTCTCGGTGTTGTGTATTAGATAAGTTATGGTAATGGAGATCAATTTTTTATGTTGAATTTTTCTTGAAGACACACGCAATGGAATGGAATAGGTATTAGAAGTTACATGTGGAAAATATGAAAAGAGAATAAAAATAGAATGAAATATGCGAATCTTACCATCTTTCCCCTCAGGAGCGGTCGAGTGGAGTAGCCGAGCAGGTGAACGAGTCTACCTCACAGACATCAGCGCGCGGTCGAGCGGAGTAGGCAAGTAGGAGAACCGTGAACGAAAGTTCTTCAAGTCGGCTCCGAGTGGAGCAGATGAATTGCAAGAGTAGTGAATCGTCAGAGAAAATTGAAATTAGGTCTTAGCATCGAGCAGAACAGTTGAATCGCGAGGGCAGCCAATCGCAAAAGGAAATAGAAATTAGGCTTTTTTTTTTAAACTAAAGTTGGTTTGCCTCTCTTGAAAATTAGACGCGGTTTTTTCTAAATTTTGGGGAGGGGCACGTGCCCCGTAGGCCCCCCTTTATCCGCTCCTGCTCCTTAAGATTAATATCAAGTGTTATGTGAATCATATTCAATTTACTTACTAGAATGTTTTTTTTTTCCATATGATGAAGTATTCATTTCAACTTTTTAAGCTTTTATTATTATTATTTTGTTTGTTATTACATAAACTTATGTTTTCCCTATATGAGCATCATGTTTGCCCACAAAATGAGAAAAGTTACACTTTCTTGCTGGTTTGTTGTAGAAGGTGGTGATGTTATTAACGTGATATCAATACACTTAAATTTATGCTTTGGCTGTGTATTGAGTGTGTTTGCTATGTACTGAACATTCTAAAATGTTTAGTGTATGACATACATTCCCAATAAAAATTATAATGCACACCATCCACACCAAGAAATAGTTGTGTTGAGTGCACCTGATAAATCTCTTAAAATTTGATAGCATTCAACCTTCTATAAGTTTTTTTGTTGGAACTTTGACTTCACTTGTAGTTCTTCCCTTACTTTTGAGGTAAGGTTACAATTCACTTTCAAAGAAAACATGTTCGGCTATTTTCTTGTATTATCCAGTCCTCTTTAGACATTCTCCTTTCATTTTATAGGTATTTCCAGTTTTAAAATTGTTATCCAAAATATAAATAAGTCTAAATCTGGTGCAGCTAATTTCAGAGGAAACAAAGACGCCTCTAAAGAAATGGTCATATAAAGTTATTCTTTTCTTAACTTTGAGTCATAATGGCCATTTGAGTTTTTAACAGGGTGATTTGAAACTTACAAGGTTGTGCTTTACTTCACTAGTTGTAAGAACCAGTTGGACTAATTCAGTTGAACCGGCCCTAACCAAAGTATGGGCGAAGAACTTACGTGAGCCGACAAACAGCACGAGCGAGCAGTGTGCAACAGGCTAGTTTGATCGCGCTAATGTGCGAGCAGCGCATTCAAAAATGAAAAGCGACGACTTCTCGTGTGAGATAACTTCGATTCATTCACTTCAATTGAACTGTATGATTAAAAGAGACTCTTAACGAGAGGAGGCTAACTGTTAGGAAGAAGAAGGACAAGGAAGGCAAAGGAAAGAAATAGAGAGAGTTCTTGGATTTTCATTACTGGTGACGAGGTAGATCGAGAGAAAGAAAGGAAGAGAGCAAGGGAGACGAGACTTACGAGCGATCCGCCAGTAGGAATCGATTTCGACCGAACGAGTCGTGTGCGTGCAGGTTAGGGCTCGGAGAAGAGGCAGAAGGTAATGCTTTATCTTTTTTCTAAAATTTAAGTTATATTTTGATTAAAAATTTGTTTAATTAATACATTAAATTCCTAATTATTAATTATTAAGATTGAAGAAGTAATTTTTTATGAAATATCGTAATAAATAAGATTATATAGATTATGTTTTTCTTTTCCATTCATTTAGTAGAAGAAAAGAGAATGTATATCGTAGTCGAGATGCTTTGAGATAGGTATTTATATCATTTTTATTTTAAATGTTTTGAAGTTTTTAGTAGCTCTTTCAGTTTATTGATAATAGTTTTAACAAATGAAAATGTAATCATCCGTCTAACTGTCTGTTCCCGCCTCATTAATTCGAACCCCCAGGCTGGATCTTGACACCAGCGCACCAAATTTTCTTTTCACGCTGCATTTTGTAGAAAAGAACTTTGGATAAGTTATCTTTGCGCATTGTGTGCTTTGATATCATCATTTCCACTTTGACTTGTTAAATGTATCATTATTTACCTCATGTAAACATTGGTGCTTGCCCTTTCTTTTTTACCTATCAATCGTTTTGCCATGATAGTAATCCATATGAGCTTTTCAGTTGTCAAGGACAACCAGAGATCTTTATCTTCATATGTTCACTGATTTATTATAAGCCGTACAATTTCTTTTCATTTCCCACGTAATGACAGAGGGTTACTTTTGAGATGTAATCGGAACTAAATGACTGGAAAAGTAACTTCCTCATTTGTACAATAAATTGTGGAATCAAACCCTCTTGAGCTGATGCTATCATTGTTTTACTATTAACCATGATTTTCTTTTCAGCAAGTTGTTGATGCCAATGTAAATTATGATGCAAGAGAAGGAAGGAGCTCGGTGGAGGTATAGCTTGTTAAACCGGAATCTGATTACTAGATACTATGATTCCATATTAACTGAAGAATGTCCATTATGATGATCATTTCAACTATTTATGATTATTGATCTGCCATTCATTCTTGAAATGTGCAGCTTTGGTGTTAACTTCAGCTTAGAAGAAATATTAGGTTTTGCCTGGCTTTCCCTTGTCTATCCCTTTCAAATAATTCTTACTTTCCATCTTGCAGTGTTTGTAATACTTTCTGGCTTGCATATGTAAACTGTCTTGATGCAGGATTGTTTAGGGTTAGAGTTTTTTAATGCAACCAGAATGACTAATTTCAATTTATGTGGATCACACTAGGGAATTTAGGATTCACATATGAAGAATCACTAAATATGCCAAAAGTTCACATTCTTTAGATGCAAAAATAAATATGAGAATTAAAACTTAAAATAATAATATAATGACTACACAAATCCGAAGAAAGGAATGAGAATTTTGAACCATAAATATGTAATGAACAATTGTAAATTATTGACCACAATCATAATCCTAATTTTATCAAATTTGAACAAAATGAAAAACATTAGAAAGCCAATAACAAGGTGTGTAAAAAAAATAGATTAAGGAAAGAATTCACTTCACCAAAGTACAAATCCAGGTCGTAAGCTTACAAAGAGACGACTACCCCCGAATATGGGTATTTAGTTGTAGTTGTACCATATTTGAAGGAATCACACATCCACCTTATACACAAAATTGAAATTAGAAGTTTCATTTAATCGGAGTTTAAGTACATTCGTTAGATCTTTTATTTATAGGCTTCTTATCCTTTGGTTGTATATTTTGTTGACACTAGATAAGATGAGTTCAAGTGAAGATAATCATCAAAGTTAGCTTTGATTTTATCCATAATTCAAAATTGTAAAAAATTATGACTAATATGGAAGTTAAGGCATAAAAGATTACGGATAAGGGGAATTGTAGAAATAATTGGGAAAGGGCATAATAATACCTACGTAATAGTGGAGAACCATAGAAACAATGATAATAACATTAACTTAGCCTTTTCACTTATCAAAAAAGACAGTCACATTAGGTATCAGGTGACATTGCGACCAAAATTTTATTCCCTGCCTGCCAAGAATGACAGTCACATTCCACCTGCTAAGAAAAATGATCACGGATACTTAGTTTCATGCAAATAAATTTTCCCTCTTGCTAAGAAAAGTGGTCACGAGTACTTATTTCATGCAAATAAATTTTTCTGCCTATTAATTAAAACGACCACGTGAGCTTATTTCATGCAAACAAATTTTCTCGCTTGTTAAGAAAAGCAGCCATAGGTACTTATTTTCATGCATACGAATTTTAAAATAGCTAGTGTCCGGGTTATACCTTAGGTGCGTGGTAGAAGCGGCGGTGAGAGCGAGTTGACGTGACGTACGAAACCTGTGATGACAAATATTATTATTATTTTTTTATGATTATCATTTATTTTATTCAATTACATGCTTTGTTTTAATGGGGTTAGTGGGAGGAGTGGGTGCAACCTCTCTTTCTAGAGAGAGAAAGAGAGGGAAATAGGGGATTTCGTTAGGGTTTTGGGTGAAAATGTGTAGGAATATGATGGTGGTGAGGAGTGTGGTGTTAGAGAAAAAATTCTTCTCACTCAAATTTAAGAGAGAGAAAGAGGGGAAATTTTTTCTCTAGGAAGGGAGATAAAAAACGAATGAGAGTGGGTGGTGTAGGAAGTGAAGAATGAGGTGTTTGAATGATGAAATCATGATATATTTCTAGAGAGAAAATTTTCACTTTCTAGGTCTGAAAGAGAGTGTTGGATGATAGGGTTTTTTGGTGGAGGAGGTGGAGAGAAGGATTTTTTGTGAAGGAGGATGTGAGATTTGAGGGATGTAGTGGGAGAAATAAAAAAATTAGGGTTGGGTTAGGGTTAGGTTTTGGGAAGGAGGAAGAAGGTGAAGGAGAATAAGTGAGGAAGAAGAAAAGAAAATATGGCAAGGAAGAAAGAAGTGGAGGAAGAAGAAAGAAAGGAGAGGAAGAAGAAGAAGAAGATGTAGGAGTTGGAGGAGGAGAATGTTACCTAAGGTGGTTGACAGCGGGAGGAATGGGTGGTGGCGGCTTGCATGAGAGAGGGGAAGTCGAGAGAGCAGAGAGAGTTCAAGCCTTGCGTGTGTTGGAGCTGTGAGGGGGCGTGAACATGAGGTGAGGGGGGGGGGTGAGTAAAA